TGTTCTTTCATTCAATGTTGCAGTAAGCTTTTCAAAGCCGGCGATGAGATCGAATCAGAGAAACTTGAAAAAGATGTACGTGCCTCCATATTAGAGATTGTCAGGAAAAGAGAAGAGAAGGTGATGACTGGAGGAGAAGACAGCATTGGGAGTGATTTTCTTGGATTACTTGTGAAGGCTCATCATGATGCCAATGACAGCCAGAGGATTTCAGTGGATGATTTAATTGATAATTGCAAGACGTTTTACGTCGCTGGACAAGAAACCACTAATTCTTTGCTTGCTTGGACTGTCTTTCTTCTGGCACACCACACAGATTGGCAAGAGGAAGCAAGAAAAGAGGTCCTACAAATATTTGGCAAACAAACTCCAAACCCTGATGGCATTGCCAAACTGAAAACAGTAAGTCTCAAGAACTCAATCATTAGCTTGTTCTAAGTGGCAGAAACAATTAAGATTCAAAACCTGATTTGTTATGTTTTTTTGTTTCGTTTGGATGCAGATGAGCATGGTGATCAATGAGTGTCTAAGGTTATATTCCCCTGTTGGTACTCTATCAAGGAAAACTGAAAGGGAAGTTAAACTAGGAAAGCTTATTGTTCCTGCTAATGTTGACTTGCTAATGTCATGCCTATCACTTCACCATGATCCTCTAATCTGGGGACAAGACGCGCAACTTTTCAAACCAGAGCGATTTGCAGAAGGGGTTGCTAAAGCTACTAACAATAAAGCAGGCGCTTTCCTACCCTTTGGAGTAGGACCTCGAACTTATGTGGGATTGAACTTTGCGACCATGGAAGCAAAGATTGCTCTGTCGATGGTTCTACAACGCTACTCCTTCACCCTTTCCCCGGGCTATGTCCACTTGCCCCTTCAGCAAGTAACAAATCGCCCACTCCGTGGAGTTCAAGTAATGCTATATTCACTTTGATAAGTATCCAGAAAACAGACATCAATCAACTCATTGTATTATTAGTCAATAATCATTTCAACTTTTCCAAGCTATTGTTGCCTCATGTTTGGCAGCATTGTTGGATAAAACAATAGTTTTTTTCTTTTTGTTTGGTTTGTGTTAAAGGAAAGAAAATCAGTCAATGATCTGAGATTGACTGATTATAGGATCAGAATATATTTGGCAATCAGTCAATGATATGAGATTGAGAGATTGTAGGATCCGAATATAATTAGCAAATAATTAGTATGTATTTACTTAGAATAGACTTGCTCTGTATGTATAAAGCTGCTGTATCTGTTTGTAGTGCTTAGACATACATATATAGAATACATTAAACTTTCTCATGGTATCAGAGCACCCATCTTGGTGACTCTGCCCAAACACCTTCCGCTACAACCACAAACGTACTGCAAACACCATTGAAACACAACATCATGAGTGAATCAAAATCTACAGAAACAGCTCCTATCTCTTCCGATCCTCTGTCTTTGCACAACTCCGACTCACCGGGACTTTCCCTAGTTAACATCAAACTCGAAGGTCACAATTATGGCCAATGGAGCAGATCTATGCATCTCAGCCTCAGCGCCAATTTTTCATGTTTCTATGCTTCGGAAGTATGTGCCTGATCCAACCCATGTTCTAAATTGGGGAGAGCTCAACTTAGATGAAGAATTGTCATTTGAGGAAAGACCAATACATATTTTGGATCACAAGGAACAAGTTTTACGTACGAAAAACAATACCATTGGTCAAAGTTCTTTGGTTACATGGAAATACGGAAGAAGCTACGTGGGAATTAGAAACTGAAATACGTAAGAAGTACCCAAAATTGTTCTCTGATTCCAGTAAGTTTTAAATTTCGAGGACGAAATTTCTTTTAAGGAGGGTAGATTGCGAAATCCCGTTTTTTAATATATATATATATATTGTTGGCTATTTAGTTATATGTTTAAATTGATTATATATTTATATGGGTTATAGTTAATTATATAATTGCTTGACCACATAGTTGTTACCTTTATGATAATACTATTATAAAAATACCTATTTGTTTGATATAAGATGATGCCACGTACAAAGATATTTACCACTCTAGTTTCTTCACAAGTGTATACCTAGATGACTAAGCTTTCTACCTAGATGACTAAGATTTTGTCAAGCATGAGCTGTTGGCATTAGGAGAAAGTAGGATAATTTAGGAAGTGAAGTATATCACCAAACCTACATTCCACCAATCAAAAACCATTAGTTGCTGCCTTTTGCTACTATAAATAGAAACCATTCCTTTAACTTGTTTAAACAGAATGCATGGCAATGCATGAGAGAGAGAGAGAGAGAGATGTAAGGAAATTTGATTTTGGACGAGATAGGTAAATGGCTTGTCTTGCCAATTTATTTTAAGGGCTCTCATTGTCGAGGTGAGTGGTTTATGTAATGTGTTCTAAAAGTTCTTATTTTGTGATAAAATATGAAAACCATGAATTATCGTGGATTTGTTCTATTTATAAATATCTCTCTATTTCAAGTCAAGCATGTCTAATTTTGGTGCAATCTTTCACACTACATAGGGGTAATGTGATATGATATGGATTGATGTATCTTTTCATGATATTTTTTAGAGTGTGTAAAACGGCATTGCTTGACTGGCATATTGCATAATCTACTCACTGAGAGGTGGTTGCTCATCCCTCACCCTATTTAATTTTTCAGATGAATTAGTGGGTAAGATGATGACTAAACGAGTTGAGACTGAATTAGATGAGAGTAGTAGAGTTTTATTTATTTCTTGTAAAGTTGTAAGATTTTGGGAGCTATTTTTATAGGAGAAGTTTATTTTATATTTCGGCTTCTTTTATTTTTTATTTTTTATTTTTTATTTTCTCACGCACCAGGAGTGTCGTCGACCCCCGAGTCCGGGGCGTGACACGTATTGAAAAAATATTTGCTTGAAAAAGCTCCCCCTTAGA